AAAAAGAGATCAAATGAAGTAAGAATGGGGAGAGTGTGGCAATGTAAAGAAAAGGAAATAAGTATTTTAGATTTAAAGCATGGTCATATAGGGGGAGGAAGGGAAGAAAAGGAACATGGTGAGTCTGTTTCACTCACAATAATGTCAATTTCATGTTTATATTAGGCAGGATCACATTTAAAACTTCAAATGCATCTCTGTGTCTCCAAATTATCTCAGGGCTTTAGTGTTTACAATCACCACTGTTCCACCTTTATAAGCATTTCTGATCACCGTGGTAGAGTTTCCCTTTAAATACTATAAGGCTTTGCTTTCGCTTAATTTTACGTTTCCTAATACCGTATTAATTGGGAGACCTACTATCATAGCTTCTGCTAAGAACACAAAAAAATCTTATTCTGGAAAATATCCATCTCATCTCCACGGTCATGGATCAGATAAAAATCAGATCTAATCCTGGATTCAATACCCATGTGTAGTGGATGCTCCAATTTGTTAGTGAATTGCAAAACAAAAAAATCAAACATGAACTTGCCATTATTTTAAGTCAGACACACAGATTCACCCTCAACACCACCCTCCATCTTCTCTCCCCCCCCCCCCCTAATGTGTTCATGTTTTGAATCCAAAATACTTTTTATTTTACCTTTCTATTCCCTTTTTCTTCCCACTACCCCCCCGCCCCTTTTTTCTTTACATCGCCTCAGTCTCCCCATTCACTCACTATTATTAATTTGCTTTAGTAATAATCATCTTTCCTGTTTATTAACCCCTTCGTGACGGGAGACGTACACTGTACGTCCAGCCACAAAGGGACCAAATGACTCGTCACGTACACTGTACGTGACGAGTTATTTGCTGCACTAGAAGGCTGCTAACCGCTGAGAATCAGCGGTTACCTTTCAGTAATAGATGTCTAACTATCTAGAGATCCATTACTGAAAGGGTTAACCTTTTTCAGACACCCGATACCTTAATATCGGGTGTCTGAGAGTCACAGCAAAGCGGACACACATGTCGGCTTTTGCCGGCATTCTGACAGCTCGTATAGATCGAGAGATATCTCTCTCAAGCTATACTGGCTTTTTTTTTTTTTATCTTTTGACTTTCAAGAATAGATACAAAATGTTATGTATTAGACACATAATGTATCTATTCTTGAAAGTAGAATGTTTAAGTTTTCTGAAACATTCACTGACAGCTGAATCCTGAACTGCTGCAGGATCAGTGTCACTAACTTATTATCGGCTGTTCTGAAGTTTGAAGCAGCCTGATAATAAAAAAAATGTATTAATTTATCAAGCAGTAATAGTGAGATTAATTCACAATGACTGCCTGATATAATTAAATAAATAAAATTTGTCAGTATAAAAAAAGTGAAAAGTGTAAAAAAATTAAAAATAAGGGACAAATAAATGAATGTATGTATTGCATTTTTTTTTAGCTGTGCTGGTTTTGTTAAAAAAAAATACTACAAATCAAAACTGAAAAATTTTTTTTTTTTACGTTTTTTCCTCTTTTTTTAATTTGTATTTGTCCTAAGTGAGGCGTTAGACACACATATGTGATATAAATATATAGCCCTATCTGTCCTCTAAAAAACAATATATAATATGTGTGGGTGCACTTTGTAAGAAAGTATATTACTGACGTGGAAGAATCGCACAGCAAAAATGTCAAAAGTGTGTCAGTCATTTACGAACAGAAACCAAAAACAAGTTCAGTCATGAAGGGGTTAAAAGGTTATTGCAAAATTTTATGATGGTTATCATTACTAGTGTTTTAATTGAGTGACATTAAAGTTATGTAGGTCAGTTGCATTTACATTGTGAGACTTGGACACACGTGCTTAGTCATACAGTTTATTTTACACATTTTTGTTTTGTTTTATATTTAATAACTAAAAATATAATTTTATAGTGAACAGCATGTTGCATTGAACTGTGCACTGTGGCAGTTGGTGTGATATTGTATCATGTGTAAGAACTGATGTTGTTTTCCCTTTAACATTGTAAGGAGCTTGTCAATTTACAACTGTGCGTATAGGTATGTCTAGCTCTCTCTCATAAAATCTCCATATCCATGCTGGAATGCATACTGTGAAGTCTCCCTGTGTTCTGGGGCAGGAGGGGGTGTGCCGGTGCATTGAAGTCAATGGCACAGAAGCCACGCCCCCTGCGCGATCGCCCACACCAGAAGCTCTATTTTTTATGATTGCACTGGACCAGAATGTGGGATTTGCAGTGCCATGCTTCACGTTATCTGGTAAAGGCAGGAGGCCTGGCTAAGGTGCCATTGGCTTGAATGCACCGCCACACCCCCTCCCACCCCAGAACACAGGGAGCCTTTACAGTATGCGATTCAGTGAGTTCCACCAGTTAGCTGCTGAAACCACTGGAAGTGGTGAGCCTATTACTACAGTGAAAAAGATCCATGGGGGGAGGATGATGTATACCTGTGTGCTACAATAGATTCTTCTTTGAAATAAAACCAATGAAAATGGCATGGAAAAAAATGATGGGACACTTGGTTAAATATTTTTTTTACACAACCTTTAAATTAAATTCAAACTGTTCCATATGCAAGCAGTGCACGTGGCAATGCACAGGTGAACCTATACAGTCTCTTGTTCCCACTAAACTGCAGTGCAGATGTGGACCAACCACACATTTCTACTTGAAGTGCATTTTCATGCAGCAAAATACATTAGTTTTTTGAAAGTGTGAATGGGCTTCTAAGAGGCAATCACTGCAAAAAAAGAAACAATTTCTGTAGTGCTCAGTGAGATTCTGCACCTCCCACAAGGTAGTTTGGCTCACTCTTCTTGACTAAACTGCTCCAGCAGTCTAAGGTTTGAAGGGTGCCTTCTCCATACTGCATGTTGCAGTGCTTTCTATTGATGCTCAATAGGATTTCGATCAGGCTCAAAAAAGGCCACTTCAGAATAGTCCAATGTCGTCTTCTTAGCCATTCTCAGTTGCTTTTAGCTGTGTGTTATGGGTCATTATCGTGTTGGAGAACAATCTGCTACTGAGACAGAACTTTGACACTGGGCAGTACATTTCGCTTCAGAATTCCTTTATCGTCTTGGGATTACATTGTGCCTTGCACAGATTCAAGGCACCCCATGCCAAACGCATCAAAATAACGCCGAAACATAACCGAACCTCATCCATGTATTAAAGTAATACTTTTGAAAGCTTAATTTGTTTACCTGTAAAAACTAAAAAAATGATGCAACTTGCCAACAGGCTACAGTTTTGTCTCATTAGTACATGGGAAATTCTGCCAGAAGCATTGTGGCTCATCAATATGCATTTTAGCAAATTGCAGTCTTGTTTTACATTTTTCTTTTTTTTTAATGTGGTAATCTCCAGGGTCTTCTTTATTTTAAAGTGACACTGCACTTAGAAGTTACATTTTATAAATGCATTCAAGTACCTTAAAGGAGAACTATGAGGTTACAGCTTTTCCCCATAGTTCTCCTTAGGGTAACGGCTTGCCTACTGGAGAAAAAACCTTCAGGGATCTAAGAGATTCTTCATCCGATTCAGATCCGGGGGTGTCCAACCTAGATATTTTCAAAAGAAATAAAGGAAGGTGGAGTACATCTTTTGAGAACTCTATGTTCAGGGTAAGATAGGGACTGAACAAAGTATCAAACAAATCCTTCCATAGCAAAGTATCCAAGTGTAAGGGAGGAGCACTCGAGCTCCCTAAATGTGCCTCAGATGAGGGTCCCAAGACAGGCAACTCTAAGACTGGTCGGCAAAATCTATGGAGTGCATCACCCCTAGTGTCATCAAACTTACCATGCAATGTAGCACATGCTGAGTGCAGGGCTCTGCAAGATTAGGTTGACCTATAGGGAATGACTAGGATTCTTTTTGGTTTAAGATATGATGGCCAAAGACATGAAATGACCGTAGAGATCAGGTGCATCCCAGAATCAGGGGGAACACCAGCTACTTGTGATAACACTACACTTGCTCACTAGCAGTGGTGAGCTACCCACCTAGGTGTGCACACCCTCTAACCAGTAGTACCAGGGCAGACAGGCTGTGGTTTACCTCACTACAAGGTCTAGTTGCCCACTGTGCAGTGTTAATTTAGTCGACTAAAATGTTGTCATAGTTTTCATTATCTGCATGTTTTCACTGATCAAAACTAAATAAAATCTAAGTTGATAGGACTAAAACTATGACTGGAGATTTAGTTGACAAAATTAAACTAAAACTAAAAGAATTCAGATGACTAAAATAAGAATGTTAGTTTTAGTTGCATTTTAGTTTCACCAGTAGAGAAAATTGCAATGTATTTTTGTCATAGTTTTAGTCCTATTAACTTAGATTTTATTTAGTCTCTCTCATGTAGAGAAAAAAAAAAGATAGTGACAGTAACTCAGAATAGCATTACTGGCCTAACATGGCTTAACTTGGGACATTGGCTCTGCCCAGTTTATGTTGGCTCCAAAATCTTCCTAGGAAGTAAATACAAGCAGAAAAGGGCAAGGTGCGATGAAGCAAAGTGATGGTTGCGGTGCCACAAGAATGTGGCCTAGCTAGGTCTGCTGCAATGCTGTCATTGGTACTCCAATGCCTTTAAAGTATAGACCTGCCAATCATGGAGACAAGCAGGGCTGATACAGTGAATCCTTATTTACCCAACAAGGAGAAATGTATTCACAGGTTGAAATAGAGACTACAAGCATTTAAGTATGCAGTCTGTCTTTAAGTCAGCTGCGTGTTAGAACATAGCTTCAGAGAATATTTCATCAGCAGTTGTGGCCACCAGATGGAACCGTCCCCCTTAGTTGCTTTTTCATTGCACCTAGTGTCCTACTCCTGCAGATGGAACCAAGACACACAGGTTATGATTGTTAAATCGCTCAAAAGGCAGTCCCCTCAAATAAATGATAGAAAAGATAGAATTTACCCTTTGCTGAGTCAAACTAGAATCTGTGTTTTATTGCCAGTTGCGGTATAATTATGATTACGCACCTTCATCTCGCAAGGTGAATCGACCCATCTGAGGGAAATCTTTGAATGTTTCAAGGCAGATAGTGCCTGCTGTCCGTAAGCGGGCAATGCATACTTGGTCTTGTTTTACAAAACGGGGCCGTGTCTTACTCTTTTCTCCTGTTTTTTTGTCTACCAAGCAAATTAAGGCCTAAATTAGACAAGGACAAAAAGGTTAGAAGTCAACGATTATGGAAATTATTGACAATCTCACAATATATTGAGATTAAACAAACCATCTTTAAATAAACACAAAAGTCAGGTAATCTTACTGTTATCTCAACTTCTTCAATACATGTGTGAATATGTAGCACGGCATTGTATCCAGGACAGATAATTGATTTGTGCTCAATTATCACAATCTGTGTAACACAAGAAAAAAATGAAACTGGTTATAGAACAGGTTTCTGCAACATAAGAAAAGCTATATAAATGGGAAAAATAATTCAAAAATCCCATTCGTATTTCCAACCAATTATTTTTTTTAAAGTGCATCTGGGGAAAGATTAAAACCTTTGTCAGATTGCCAACCCCTCAGTTGCTGATTGAGTTTATGCTGGGAAGATACACTGCATGTTCTGATAAACATGTCTTAATGACGATCATCACCATGATAGAAAGTGAGAGAAAATGCAAAAGTTTGAGTTGTTACTGGAACAGAAATATGAAGGATTTTTTTTCTAAAATGGAATGTTCCTTTTAGGGATGCACCGATACAGATACTAGTATCGGTACCGAGTATTTGGGCGAGTACTCTTACCTCGCCCAAATGCTCCAATACCTTTCCCGATACTGCAAATTCCGGTCAGAGGGAGATTTCCTCTGACCAGCAGTGCCGCTAGGGAACATGGAGACGGGAAGCTGGCTCCATGCTGTTTGGCCGGCTTGATGCCGATTGGCCGGAAAGCCAGGTTCCCAGCCAGTGTCGAGTCGGGTAAACAAATCTGTTAATATGGCGCAGTAGCAGGCTGAGGGCCGATCACGTGGGCGCTGTACACACAGGAGATGCGGGCAGATCCGGGAGAGCGGTGTTTGCCCAGCTGGCTGAGGGACTGGAACGGTAATGACTGCTGCTAAGGATCTATGTGAGGGGAATGAGGTGTCTGCATATTGTCAGATCTGTTTGGCCGGCCCCTATGCCGATTGGCTGGAAAGCCGGCTGGCTTCCTGATTGCCCGGGAAACCAGCTCTATACTACTGGAAGTACAGGTATCGGTACTCTGTATCAGCGAGTACCGAAATATAAATATCGGTACTCGTACTCTATACCGATATCGGTGCATCCCTAGTTCCTTTCTTTGGATAGATCTCCTCTCATTTTGTTTTATCTGGAGGTTAAAACAACTAAAAATATAGCTAAAGGGACACCGAAAGCAAAGAATTGGGTTTCAATAATTTCTTAATGTAAAACTAAAAAATGTTTGGCTTTAGATATTATCACTAGTGCTTACAAAACAGAAATTTCAGCATTAACAGCACTGTGCTGTTCCTCTTTGCTGTGCACCTGTTCTTAGACCTAACTTAAAAGCCTTCATTACTTGTCTTGTGAACAATTTTAGTTTGGAACATTCTAAAATTGTTCCAAATTAAAATTGTATTTCCCTCCTATGACCTATAACTCCCAAAATAAACTGAAATTCCAGACATATGATATACCCTATAAATCAGGACAAATAAAAATGAATTATGAATGACTTTGTTAGCTGTAATCTAATGTATCTAATGTATCTCTTATGTATTTATGTTTTGCATTTTGTTACGCTAATTTATCCCTCAAAATGTTTAGCACGGTTTAAAGAAACTGATGATTATATAACCATGCCAAAAGAAATAGAACATCTGCAGTAAAAAGACAAACAAATAAGGGGGGAAAAAAGCATAAAAAATGCATAAGAGATGCATTAGATTGCAGAAACAATAAAGTATATAAATGGCAGAACAGGGAAGAAAAAAAAATGCAAATGGAGGATTAAAAAGATGGAGATTACAGAGGAGGAAACTGAAGAAAGGAGTGAGACTAAATACCATTGGAAACCAATACAAAAAAAGAGAAAGAGGGAAAAAGCAGGGATAGGAGAAAAGGTAACTACATGTAGAACAAATTATCAGATTAATGAAAAGAATAGAAAGGGAGGAATTTGCGATCCCAACTACTCAAGAGGTATCACCCACTTCTAGAGCAGAGACTGTTGTGGAAATTTTATTAGAATGTGTTTTTAGTATATTGTATATGTGAATATTGTCATCATGTCTCTGTGTCAGGTTTGCTGGGCTATGCTCTATGGAGCGTAGACGGGATTAATCAGCACTGAGTGTAAACCATTAGAGTGGATATCTTCCTGTGGCTGGGGAGAAGCGACCGCTGTGCACGGAGATCTCCGCCTGTGAATGTTTCATGTGCTATGTGCTGGGCTGTTGGCCGCGGGAGATTAATGTGCATTGCAGAGCGGTGTCCTCTTTGCAAGTGTATGGACGCCCGCGAGGGCCGCTGTGTAATGCGCAGATTTTTTCGCTTGGCTGAGATTTGCTTCAGGGACACGGTATGAGGGAACATACGGTCGTGACTTTTTGGTGCATCTGATCAACGCACTGGAAATAATATGGCGTTGTCCCTGCAGATAAACTCACATTTACAGGAATCGCAGTATAATCCTATTAGGCATTGCTCACTGAGCAATGCTGGATAGAATATGCGCCAGTGGTAACGGCAGAAGTATATGCGCGGGTCTGGTTGGAGCGGCGTCCACGGTCAACATGCTGATTCCTTTGTGTAGTGTTTTGGCGGGAACTCCGTTGCACATGGTTTAACTAGTGTGCACGGAGTTCACATGCACTAGCAGCTAAGAGCTGTGCACATTGGGCTACACATGCACAAGCATATACTCCCCTTTCTATTGTCTATTCAAGTGTATAAATGTGTCTCATTGGCTGACTGTGTTATGTTAATGTATTGAGGAATCGATTGGCTGTTGGGGCCATCACTTCCTGCTGTTATCCATGTGTGTGCTATAAATAAACGGATCTCACTCCACTAGGGAGGACTTGTTCTGAGCATCCAACGTGAGAACAGCCTGTGTCTGTTTTACTTGGGACCGATGAGCGTGCTCGATCATATTATGAGCTGAGCACTGTGCTGTTTAACGCAGCGGATTTCTATGCGCAGGAGCGTATATTAATTTCCAGAACAAGGACGGGGAGAAGGATGGGCAAACATCCCAAAAGGAAGAATTTTTTAGGGTTCATAGAAGGAGGGGATGTAGAGGAGGTAAAAGAGTACAGAGTAAGAAGAAGACGGGAGTAAGTGGTTAAGGAATTTTTAACCTCAGTTCAGTTAACAAAGACACTAAAGTCCTCGACTTATGTTTGAAGTTTGCACCTATTAAAAATCTCAATATGTTCCCAATATACATAGACCAACAAATTTGTAAGAAAGATGAATAAAAAAAAAAGTAAATTATGCTACCCTACCAGGATCCACAAGAGCAAGTCGAGCAGTAAATGTAGAAAAATTAAATCATACCACATTAAAAAATAACTGTGTTTAACCCACAGAGTAATTTGAACCATCACACTGAAGTCTTTAAAAACATGGTTGAAGCAGAAATTGGAAAACTTAAGGTACACCATAAATAAAACAGGGATTTAATTAATCAGGGGTTTGGAATGCAAGAATATAGTGATTTGACTTGGCTTACAAGGGAGGGGGAGTGGTTATCCTAGACTAGCAGTACTACAAGGACGAAATGGCTAAAATATTAGGTGATGAAGCAACATATAAAAAAAAATGACACAACTAATACATTTAAAAAGAATTTAGAAAGATTAATAAAAGACGGCTGGAAAAAAGGAATACTAAAAAAATATAAATATCTAGTTCGATTTACAAGTAGGATTCCTGTCATATACTTGGTGCCCAAGATCCACAAAAATGATAAGACCGTCTGGGAGGCCGATTAGCGGAATAGATGCTCTACTATCAAGAACAGGGGAATATAGATTATTTTCTACAGCCCTTAATTGCCAGCACCACGGCGTACTTAAAAGACAGTAGTGAGGTCATTAAACCCCTATCAGAGATACATTATGGAAATTATATATTTGCAATGATGGATGTTGAATCATTATACAACAATATAGACCAGGATAAAGGGTTGGAAGCTGCAGAAAGGGGACTAAATTAATATAGCAACTTGGAACAAGAACAAATTAAATGTATTGCTCAATGCACAAAATATGCAAGGAGTAAAAACTATTTTTGGTATGGGGTACTATCTCCAACAGAAGAATGTTGCCAGGGGGGCAAAGTTTGCCCCCAGTATAGCAAACTTATTTATGTCCAAGTGGGAAGAGGTAGCCATATTTGTAAAGCAATGGAAGGGACTATCCCTATGGCGTAGATTTATAGACTACATTATACTTTTATGGCAAGGGGACTTCGCATCCCTTACAGCTTGTTGGGCGACCATAGATAATAATAGATGTGGAATAAAATTCACTAAAAATTACAGTGAACAAGAAATCCAATTTTTAGACCCATCTGGTTTTGTGAATGAGGGAAAGATATGTACTAAAATTGACCAAAATAGCTAGATACCCACAAATAGTTGTCACCACCCTAACTGGATCACTGGTATCCCAAAGGGGCCAATTTACTAGAATTAGGATTTGTACATTGAAAAGTGATTATGAAGAACAGTCATCTCAAATGATAAAAAAAAATTTGGAGAAAGAATATAACCAAAAGGGATGTAGAAAAAAAATAGTAGCTAAATAGGTGAGAAAGAAAGTTTCCTCAAGCCAAAAAATAGGAAGGCCAAGGATTTTGTCATTTCATTTACAACCGATTATTCTGTTCAGTATTATTATACAGGATTTATATAGCGCCAACAGTTTGCGCAGCGCTTTACAATATAGGGCAGACATTACAATCACAATACAATTCAAGACAAGATGGTAAGAAGCGCCCTGCCTCTGAGGGCTTACAATCTAAAAGGGAGGGGGAACACTGACACTGGTGAACAGTGTCAAAAGCAGCAGAAAGCTCTAATAGCAAAAGTAGGGAATAGTGGCCTTTGTTTTTAGCAGTGAGTAGGTCATTAGTATAAGGAATTGGAAAAAAAGCTATGGGCAAACATTGGCATAATTCAAAGACAGACAAAATACTTGGACCCTTATTGCCAGAAAAACCAATTATTATGTAAAGAAAAGCACCCACATTAGTGCATAACGTAGTAAACCCCCAAAGAAACCCATTACCTTTTTTTAAGGTATAGGTTTGCTGGCTGAAGCCAACTAAGCAGAGGAGGAAAATAATTTTTTTTTTTGGATCTAACTAATAAGTTTGATATAAAAGAATTTTTCT